TCAAATGGGTGGAGATTGATCGAGTCCAGCTCCACCTCTGTGGACCTAATGGGTGGAACTTTATCTAGTTATGTTTAGGGACAGGGTTATTGTTTAGGGTTAGAGTGTGGTTGGAACTTCAAGCTCCACCCATTATATCGAAGAGGAGCTGGATGTCCAGCTACACTCAATGGCTCTGCATCAAGCACCTTCTCTCCAAAAGGTGGATTTTCACAGTGATGCCAAAGAACCTTTCAGTGATCAGTTCTTAAAAGACCCATTTTGTCTAGTGTGAAGAACATCTGAATAATCTAAAGAACCTATTTCCACTATAAAGAACATTTTGTGAAATTGTAATTTTCCACGGAAGTTAAAGGTTTTTCATGGAACCATCAATGCCAATAAAGAACTTTCATTTTTAAATGTGAATGTTAAATTAGTTTTTCCAACTTTTCTGACAATGAACAAGTGCTCTGGAAAGGCAAAGCCCTGCTGAATAGCGTTAGGCATCTATTAAAGCACTGAACTATCCAACACAGAGATGTGCTATACCTTTAAGTTACAGAATATAAAGCAAGGGGAAGATAAAGCAAGAGCTGAAAATGCTTTTAAGAGCCTTACATGCGAAACACTGGCATTCACACCAGATTACGATCAAATAAAGGCACCTGTACACAAACATTTGTCTTAAACGTGACATAAATCTCAAAAACCTGACTTACAGGTACATGACAAAGGTACACAATGGCAGTTTAAAGAATTGAGGTGGGTGATGTTTTTTCACCGCTGCCTACACAAGGACTCTCCGCCTATTGTGAAATTATACTAAAATCTATTCAGTTTAACAAGCACACACACACCTGCCAAGTTAGTTTCCTCCTAGGAGGAACGAAAAGGAGCAACAAATAACCGATAAATAGTTGTATTATAATGTAATATGCATGATTGCGTAACCATGAGGGCATCCTGCAAGTCTGTCACTTCATGTTGATGACAATTTCTTAGAATTGGTGAAAAATTCAATGATGTTCTGGCAATGTTGTCATCATTTACTCACCCTCATCCTCATCTCAACACCATTGATGATTTTTTTTTGTTGTTGTTCTTTTTTGGAGCTTGGCAGTATAAATCACCATCAACTTTCCTTGTGTGGAAACTAGAGGCTCCAGAACCTCCTTTTGTTTTTCATGAAAAAACAAAAAAATAAAATCATGACACTGAGGTACATAAATGACAATATTTGCGTGGACTGTTGCTTTCATTGTATGAGGCTACTTCAAATATAGATTTAGACAACCGACTCAAGCTCATTTGCACACCATCCTGCATGAAGGCCCTCCACATATCAGATGCTCACAGAATGTGTCAACCCACAAACTCACAAAAATCACAACACATAAACACAAGCTTGTTATTTTCCAAAACCTCTTCCTCAATCGGTCTTCAGCTGAATTGGGGTGATGATGTGTACCATGTGTTTGTCAACTGACAAACAGGTTGTTCAGGGAGGTTACAAATGGTAGCAACCATGACAGGAAGTGGTTTTATCACATCGATGTTGTCCTCTGAAAAGCACACTCAAGAGGAAGTGGTCTGACAGAGAGGCAGCGTTGCTCTCGCAGCCAAAAGAAAATATAGCTGGCACATTATTACAATACAGCAAGATCACCGGAATGTCATGACGTTAAACTTCGCCGTCCTTCTGCGATTATGTACCGCTTGCCTCTGATGGGGACAAGGTATTCAGCCACTGAAAACATTAAACGCTTGCTTAGCAGTGAGCTCTTTGATTTTTGTCTCATTAAAAAGGTTTTACACTTAAAGAAAAGAATGTACAATATGTTTAAAGTAATGTATAGACTCACATGTGATGAAGACTCACATGAGAATCACATAAGATCACATGACCAGCCAAATACTATTCACTTTGTCTTGGAAGCCTTCCCCTAACTGAGCACATTTCCTCACAGAATACCTTAATCATGTCTGACTGCAAATGGCGCATTTCTACAACGGCAAACGTTTGCTTTTGTGTTAAGCTACATCCACATCACTAGGTGTCAATAAGTCCAAGATGACTGCCAAACTGGCCAGTGCCAGAAATAAAATATTACTAAATACATCTTTAAATTCACAATGAAAAAGTAGCGGCAGATTTTTATTTTCTTATGTACAGTAAGGATGTGCAAGACTAGTCGGCTAAATGGAACTGCAGCTGATGGTCGACATTGGAAATACTCAACTAGTGTTTTATTTTATGTTTTAAAAACAATAATTATTTAAAAATAACTATTTTGAAAAGTTTTGTTGACATTTTTTCATGTTATCTTCCTATAACGTTTAATAAAATAGTGTTTATAAGCACAGCACTGCTTTGTTTAGAGGGGCAACCATGGTAACCACTGTATTTTTGCTTGTCTAAAAGCGCCACCTACTGTCAGAGAGTGAATTTGCATTGTCATTCAACCCATCTGACAACTAGTTGGTTACAAATTTTCTATTTAAATGGCAGTGAAATTAGTCGTAGAGCACATCCCTACTGTACAGTGATGTACATCCAAGTGTAACGAATTTAAAAAATAAATAGGGTGAATTTTAATGTATGCTGACTTCAAGCTAACATCTTGAGAAAATATTTTATGCTTGTAACCAGAATCTAAAATAACATGTAATTGCAATTATGATACAAATTAAAATAAAATAAAAATAAAATGTACAACCTTCCCATGAGACCTCATTACATTGGGAGGACATAGGACTCATTCTACGGTCAAATGACTTGCATAATAGGTGAGGAGAGCTTTAAATGAGTTTAAAATCGAGCAAGGCCTCATGAGCCCAGAGAAAAACAAGCAAATTTTCAACCTTATCCATTTAAAATCGCAGCAGACAGTTGCAAGCAGAGGCATTAAAATGGGTGCTTCAAACAAGATTCAAAACACTGGAAAGCATTGTGCTGTCAAACATGCAGGGGGAAACTAACTCATAAATATGGGTGTGCAAAAATCACATACATTACGCCTTTTATCCTTGTTTCACAGAAAATCACATTTATATCCGTGTAACTGTGGAAAAAGGCTGACCCATACGCCTGCTGCAACAAGTCAGAGGAACAAGTCCATCTACTTTGCATGTCTGGTATGGATCCCTGTTAGCTGTACGTGTGAAGTTATTAATAAATGGGAATGAAATGACAAAGGGTTCCTTTTTAGATTATAAAATGAATGAGATCTAGAGAAACACTGCCAGCTATCTGGAGAACTTTGTGCCAAGACCAGCAAGTCCAGACTGGAACACTTTTGAATAATTCACAAAGCTTATTTTCCATGCAATCTGCTAACTATATTTTTTAAAGAGTGCGAGTGCCAAATTAAAACAGTGATCTGCAAGTAGACATTTCTCTATGGTGACCCCTGGTGTTTCTTGTATCCTGCACCTGCTGTTTTGGTTACCATGGTAGCCATTCATAAAGAACACTTGCAATAGTGAGGCATTACAGCTGACTTCAGCTGCTGACCAGTGAAGTGGCCATAATGACAGAGCTTCAGATGGAACACATGGATGCCCAACTTCAACATGTTGTTTTAATCATTTAAAATAATTGCTCTCAAAAATGTGCAAGAGTGCATTGTGGCCTTTGTATGCACCAGTCCGCCAGAGGGTGTTGCCAGTATAACCATCCTTAATGTGGAATGTACATTTATTTTCCATTCATAGTGATGGGAAGCTCGAATCATTTCTGTGAATCAGGTTATTCCAGAATAGTTCCTTTCAAACGGCTAAAAAAATTATTCAGTGATTCTTTTAAGTCATGACATAATCAAGTGGCCCCTGACATCCTTGCATGGCATATTACATATTCTAAATGTCTCAGAAAATAAAAATCCATGGGTACACACATATTAATGATGATAACAATGTAATTAAAAAAGTAAAAAAATCAGTGGTCTGAGGAGCAGGACATTATCCGTTAGGTTTAGAGACATTTTAACCCTAAAACACAAAGCAAAATACGGGTAGAAATTAATATGGAAAATATTAACACTGCACATTTGGATACTGTTTTTCTTTTATTTTTTTTCTTTGCTTTTCGATTAAGCATTATTAATAACAGCTTGCATTGTAATTTCATGGGCCCCAGTTCACTTTACAACCACGATTCAGCTCATAAAAATAAAAGTCATAAAACTGATGATAAAACTGTCAACTCTCAAACTGTAAACATACAATTCTCTATTCTCTAGTCAGTGAATTGTTGACGAGAGACCTGCTCGGATCGATTCGTGAACAAATCGTTAGGAGATCCGACTCAAAAGAACGATTCGTTCGCCAATCGGACATAGCTAATTCACAAGTAAATCTAAAGCATTTCAGCATACAAAAAAAATGCATATTTTAAATAAACTCTAAACGATTCAAGTATGTAGTTCAAGTACCTCGGCATTGTAATTAAAGATTTAAAATAAAAAATTAGATAACACATTATATTCTCTGTATTGCTGTTAATTTATTTAAAATACACAAACTAAAGAACTTGCAAACTCAAATTGCATATGAATAAAAGACTATCTGTATAATGAGAAGAAAAAGAGAAGTAAGCAGGAAGAGAATGGCATTACCTGACTCACACAGGTAAACTAGAATTAGGCTACACATAACTGTAAACATCAAATTGACCTGTTGTGATGAACCATAGCGTTATGCTTAGCGAAAATATCATCAGTCCTTTTCATCACAATTTTCAGTCGCTTCATAACAACATACTGATGAAATATTAAGTGAGCGTCAAAATGTTTTCACTGTGTACGTGCAAGCGCAACCTTCCCAAAAAAATAACCACGGACGCACTTCCTGAAACTGTTTCAACACAAAGCGGATAGGAATTATGGCGAATATGCTTGCCTTTTAACTATATGCAGGATGCGACATAATATTAAATGACAGTGGCAAGTTTGCGACAACATAAACTCCGAAGCCAACAGGTGTCGAGTGGCTCGCGCGATCGCCCGCTCGTGACTCACCTTAGTATAATATAACATCCACAGCTCGTACAGTCGCTCTTTCGAAGCCATTCTCCCTCGCCCTTCTGCGTGTTTCTTCCACTTAGGCGTTAGTCAGACCATCTGAATATACATTCCACAAACGAAGGGGCCATGGATTGACTCAGCAAAGATCCAGGGAATACTGTTTGCTAGAAACTGCATGCTGCTGTACAGCTGCCCACTACCTGGTTGCCAAGCGCTGCCAAAGTTGCATGTCTTTTAGATGGAAGGCGGGTCAAAAGGACAATTCCGAGCAAAGAAACTAGAGAATGTAGAGAGCAACATTTGAGAAATATCGCGGTTTAGGCGCTTGGATAAATGTGCATTTCTCCTGGAGGAATTCTAGAGGAGTTTAACGCACTTGTCTGTGCACGCATTACCCTGCCCGCGCTCCACTCCCCTCCTCTCGAGCGATACAGTGGCAGCAGAGAGCAAAGCAAGAAATAGCCGGGAGGAGTTCAGCCTCAAAGCTGCACAAGATGAAGGGAAACCATTGAGCATCGTAGTGCCACAGCTGATTGTGAGAACTAGCCAGGAATGGAATGTGACACTGGAGCGCAGGAACTTCTCCTGGTGATTTGGTTTGTAGAAAACACATTTTCAATAAAAAGTAGGCCTGCATATATAAAGGTCAGAATCAGAATATTACTGAATATTAGAATCAAGCTACACAATAAACAGATAGATAAAACAAGACATAACAATTAAGTATAAATGTATAAACATGCATTTTTTCTTGTCATCTCAATTCATTCCAAAGATTTGGAAGTTCTGTCATGCTATTAGATAGTGCTGCACGATTATGACAAAAATCATAATTGTCGATTATTCATTTGAAATTGTAGTTGCGATTATTAATTTACGATTAAACGAATTATGTTTACACCTTGGTTTGAAGCAACGGCATGCCGTATTTTTATATGAAAATAAACAAGCTGAAAACACTAACTGAATTTTTTTTATTGCTTTTCTATAGTATTAAGCCTCAAATGTCAACTATACATCGGATTGGTTTCTCTTTAAATAAAAAGGTAAAAATATGCATGGTATTATAATGTTATACTAAAACTAAAATTAAAACAATGGAAAACCCTTAAGATAACATGTAGAAAGAAAAAAAAAAGCATCTTAAGCATGCAGAATAACATAAGTGGACTTTTGAACGATTATGTAATTGTGGCATCCGTAATTGTAATTGCGATTAGAAATTCGATTAATTGTGCAGCCCTAAGGGATAGTTCACCAAAAATGAAAGAAGCCTTGAGTCTTGTTCGGGGATGAGGGTTTGTTTGTCCTGGCTGTGCAATGCATAAAAAATGTGTTTATGTATAGTGAACGCTGTTTGAATATTTGATGTTTCCATCTTGACTGAAATTTGCACATTGGGACATTGGCTCTGCCTCTGATTCGTTGTATCTCGGGGTAGAGGTCTGCATTCCCGCGGGACCGACCGGATTTTAAATTCCCGAATAAAACGCCTTAGCGGTCGGCAACTCTGGTGTCATTTGAACGGGAGCGGGCGGTCTATCAATACCCCGTTCCCGACGTCCATTTAGAACAGCATATCTGCGCTTTATTCTTATTGACCACCGGTACAGCTTGCGCTCAGGATGCACGCGCTGCACGCATGCTTTAAACGTCAAGCGTTTTATTTGCTGGGTCTGTGCGCAGCATGTGCATAACGATGCTCAGAGCAGGCTGTACCTGTGGTAAATATACGGCCCTCAGACAGAACAGGCAGGTTGTCGATGAGTGACAGAGCAGAATAAGGATGGAGCAAAGTGTGGATGCGTTCAAATCGGTTTTGTTTATATTTTGCTTAGCCTACACTCTAAAAAATGCTGGGTTAAATATAACCCAGCGCTGGGTTATATTTAACCCAGCATTTTTTAGAGTGTATAATTTACTTTTTCAAATAAGTACACTCTAAAAAAGGCTGGGTTGTTTCAACCCAACATTGGGTCAAATATGGACTAACCCAACCGTTGGGTTACATTTTCTACATAAAAATTTTAACCCAAAAGTTGGGTTAGTCCAAATTTGACCCAAAGTTGGGTTGAAATAACCCAGCATTTTTTAGAGTGTAACGCAAGTTTGTTTTTTTCCCCAATTTATTGATTGACAGCTCTCCTGTTCCCATGTTGAGAAATCAGAAGATGTTACTGTAGTTCTAAAATAAATATGAATATGCATTAATTCATCTCACTCACAAAAAAAAACACAGATTCAGTATTCCTCAAAATGAATAAAAATAAGGCAACTCAGAATATGACGCAAACCTGCAATAATTAAATGTTAAACAACACAAATATCCTTTATGTATTTAATCCCATTCTATTAACCAATGTCTTTGCTTCTGACCTTCGATGATCCAGTTCAACCATAATAATAAGCACAAATTACTCTAGACCAGTGGTTTTCAACCTGTGGGCCGCGGCCCACTATTGCAAAACATTTGTGTGTCTTTTTTTATTGCTGAAGTGTGTTGAAATTTTTTCTTCTGCAATTTATTTATTTTTCTCTGCAACACTTTTCCTACTGTGTTAATAGAAAAATGTCAAATGAATTTAGCATTTTGACAAGATTAATAAAAATAGCTAATAGGCTATTTTTGTACAACCTACATTTTTATTTTTTTTCTCTCTGCGGAATATAACCTTGCCTGAGTGGGCGGGAGCGGCACTAAAAAAACAGTCCTCTCGGGGTTTTGCTGTGATTTTGGATCATAATTGGGATTTGTCACATTGCTCATGTTAATTAGTTGTAATTTATTTGAACTACAGGGGTGGACACCTTTGGTTGGAGAGCCTGAAAACGCTTTGGAGGCACAAGTAAAACCAAAACACACAGTGTCATCATTATTCTACACAACACACTGCAGTAGTATTTATTCTCCACAAAACAAATTCTCAGTTCACCATTTAGAAACAAACAGGATCTAGATGAATTGGTATAGAGAACAAACCACAGTAATTCAAGGAAAAGCTATTGACAGAGTGGTATCCACAGAATTTATATAGGAAGAAAATAAAAGTGTTTTTTTTCCCTAATACATGCATTTGGCCTGCCATGTCTTATGAAGTATTAATATTCCTTCTTGTCGTTTTTATCACAAAAACAGTGTGACTTGACGAGTTAATTTTCCACAACTCAAGCTTTTGAGAGTAAAATATCACAATTTTACATTCAAAATCATTCAAGATCCATAGTCATTGGATCTCTTGAGCACCCATGCAAACTCTATGCAAATAAAGTTGTGTTGGTAAAGAGACTGAATGATCCATTTATTGTCTTGCCCGTTTTCATTTGGCACATTTGTTTTTGTCTATAAGTGCATGTGCAATGACACCACCACATTTAGCATAATTCTATAAGGTCTATTGTGTTTGGTGCCTTACTGGAACAACAATATGGTTTTGACTGTAACCTTCTGACATAGATTAAAAGATACCACAGCTTAAACAATGCATCCTTTCTATTACCCCTTTTACCAATATGTGCCCATTAACTTTAAACAATAAAATATTAAAAAATTTTACTCATTTTAATAATTAAATAAAATTATAGTCTAAGAGAGAGTGGGTCATACTGCACAATTTGTATTAATCCCATTGCTAAGTGCATCTTTGTGACTGTTTGGTCACTGGGAAGAGGATGGACCTAGAGGCAACTGTATTGCTATGGCAATGCCCTACATTCCACACCATGTCATGTTCGGGGTGTTTGTTTGCCTGTTTGGGGAACTTGTGTGGGTCATTTTTTTCTATTCAGAAGAGTTGTGATTTCTGATTTTATTTATGCATAGAGCTGTGTGTGTTCATGTATTAAAGGAACACTCCACTATTTTTGAAAATAGGCTCATTTTTTCAGCTCCCCTAGAGTTAAACAGTTGAGTTTTACCGTTTTCGAATCCATTCAGCCGATCTCCGGGTCTGGCGTTAGCACTTTTAGCTGTAGCTTAGCATAGATCATTGAATCTGATTAGACCGTTAGCATCTCGCTCAAAAATGACCAAAGAGTTTCTAGAGTTTCAAGAGTTTTCTTAGTACACGATGTAACTACAGAAGTCTTTCCCTCAATCATCTACATCATGGCCTCTGTATGCACATCCATTACCACTGTCTGATTTGATCTCCATTACTGAACAAAGTAACATGGGTAAAATTGGCAGCATACTAACTGATTTGGTAATCGACACCTTTATCATTGAACGCTCTGAGTGGTGCACCCCAATTGATGGTTCTGGTATCAAAATTACAACCCTGCCAGACAATTTGTTTAGAGTTTACTATGCCCTATTGCTGAGACAACGAAAAGATGCTAAAGATGACAAATGGCCGAAATTGTTAAAGTTGGAAATGGCCAAAACACAGACAATTAGGGGTGGTAAAGAGTATGTTTTCATGATGATTTTTGGGGATTCCAATTGTACCAAACCACAAGGTGAAGCTGGTGCCAAGTGCACGATTATAGAACCACTGGGAAAGCAGATTGCTATTCACAAGCAGTGTATGTCACTACAGAAATTGTTCTTACCCTCATTTTAATTCCTGGCATTTGCCTACATACAACAATGCTGAATCAAGCCATCCATTTGCTCTTAATGTGAAATTCGAGGGGAATTCTTCCTGGTGCATTGAAGGGAACGGGGTAAACAATTCCAAACTAGGAGTGCGTCGTCTCCAATTTTCCAGATGTGACAAAACTCTTCTGATAATGACAAATGAAACACTCATTGCTCCTAATGGTGCACACTTTGTTTGTGGTAACAAAGCTTATCCATTCCTTCCTAAGGGATGGAGAGGTAGATGTTATTTGGCCTACCTCTTACCAGCAATGCGAGTAGTGTCAGAGGATTATGTGAAACAGCATTTAATCATGACACATTCTAAACGTTCAATTTCTGAAACTGAAAAATGGTTAGGAAGATTTATTCCATTCTTAGGAGTGACTGATTCACAAAATGAATTACAAGCATTGCATGAAGCATTTGAGGCTACAGCCAATACCACACTCATTTCTATTGCTAATATTTCAGATGAAGTAAGGGCAATGAGAAAGGTTGTTTTGCAGAATCGAATGGCCCTTGACATTCTGCTAGCCTCTGAGGGCAGGACATGTAAAGTCATTGCAACTGAGTGTTGCTCGTACATTGCAGACAATACTGGAAAAGCGGTCCACAATCTAGCTAAAGTTTTGCATGAACGAATAGCTAAACTTAATGAAGATCATGGTCTTTTCTCATCTGATTGGGACACATGGTTTAAATCAATATTGGGGCCACTTTGGAATCATTTAAAAGCACCTTTGGTGGTCACTGTTTCAGGAGTGTTTATCATCTTGCTCTTGTATATTGTTGATTTGTCTTGTAAGACGCTTGACTGTCACAGGGCCATCAAGGCCATCA